TGCCATAAATCAGCATCCAAGGAAGTCAAAGCTTCTTGGATAGTTGATGGATCATCTTCCAATGTATAGACCATATAATCAGGTCCATACTCTCTAGCAGTTCTTGTTCTCTTACTTCTTCTAGGTTCTACTTCTAACCCATCATCACTATCTCTAATCACAGGTGTGTGACTAGATGATGTGCCCCCACTATTCCTCAATTTAAAAGGGAATTTCTTTTCATCAAAGTCAGCATCATTAGACTCAATGATTACTTTAGCGTTAAGGTCATAAAACCTGTACGCTTTGCTGTTTATAGCATACCCAATGAATACACATTCATAGGCTCTACTAGCGAGTTTAACTCTCTTGGGGTCTGGTATCCGGACATAAGCCAAACAACCCCAAGTTCTGAAATAAGACAAATTAGGTTGTCTATTCTTAAAGAGTTCATATGGGGATATTTTGCTCTTAGTCTTGGGGACTCTATTTAGCACATAACACACAGTTAATAAAATTTCACCCCACCAAGAGGGTGCTGCACCAGAACTTAACATGATAGCTACTACTAATTCAGTTAATGTTCTATTCTTTCTTTCAGCTTTACCATTCATTTCAGGTGAATATGGTGCAGTGGTTTCATGAATAATGCCTTTTAATTTATAAAAATCATTAAACATGCTAGAATCATACTCAGTGCCCCTATCGCTCCTGAGTTTCTTTATTTTCTTATTGAATTGATTTTCAATTTCAGTTACATAGACTTTAAACATATCAAGTGCATCACTTTTATTTTTCATAAGATAAATATAAGTGAAATCAGAGCAGTCATCTATAAAAGTTATAAAATATCGTTTACCATTTCTGGTTAACGTTCCATCTAATTCACATATATCAGAGTGTATCAAATCTAAGGGTTCAGATTCTCGCACTACTGATTTATGTGATTTTTTTGTTATTTTAGCTTGACTGCATGATTCACAATTTTCAAAATCATTTTTAGATAACTTGGGAATTAATCCTAAATTACTCAAATTTGTAATAGCACGTTTATTGATATGACAAAGTCTAGAATGCCAAATAGAAAAATCACACAGCATGTAAATAGAATCAGAAATTTTATTAATTGAAACTTCAACATTTAACTTAAACATGCCATCAGTGGCGTACCCCTTCCCTACAAATACCCCATTCTTAGTAAGAGTGTACAAGTCTGCTCCTATTGTCTGGGTAAAACCAGCCTTATTAAGAAGAAAACCTGATACTAGATTCTTCCTCATCTCTGGAGTATGCATCACATCTTTGAGTATCAGAGTTCTCCCAGATGTAAACCTCAGCTCCACATCACCAGTTCCAGCAACAGTAGTGGTGTGAGAGTCTCCCAGCAGCACTTTCTTGTTATCAGCATTCGTGTATGTTTTGAACATAGCACGATCATAGCAGACATGGCGGGATGCACCAGTATCTACCCACCACCCATCACTTCCTCCAATCATTGTGACTTCAGTTAACACTGCCACAAGTGGATCCTCAACCATGTTAGCTTGTGGAGTATGATCCACTGATTGGTTCCTGCACTTTCGTGCCATATGACCTGGCTTCCCACACTTGAAGCAGATAAATAGGTTGCCAGAGTCATTCTTTGCGGGTGGTTTAGCATATTGGACCTTTTTAGAGTTCCAATTCTTGTTGCGGCCGGTGATCTTAGCCTTATTCCCATTGCGGTTCTGATTCTTAAAGTTGCTGCCCGAAGGCTTCAGAACTGCACCTGAGAATTTCTTTCTAGTGCTATGGCTTGATAAAGCCAACACTTCTTCATTCTGATCTTGCTTACGAGCCTCTTCCTCAATGCGAAGACGAGTGATCAGAGATTCCAAAGAAAATTCTTTGGTCTTATGTCTTAGGACGTTTTTAAAGTCCTTCCAGCTAGGTGGCAGTTTGTCAATAATGACAGCTACCTGAAATTGCTCATCTAAGGGCATACCCCCAGTGATGATCTCATGAGCAATTTTCTGAATCTCGTGGGACTGAGATTCTACTGATTTATCATCAGTCATCTGATACTTGAGGTAGCGGCTAACAGCATATTTCTTAGTCCCAGCTTCCTCAGTATCATATTTCTTTTTGAGTGCCTGCCAAACTAATTTGGCAGATTTATATGGGATGTAATAATCATATAGATCATCAGACAACCCACCAAGAATGAAATGCTTACATAAGTAGTCATTATCATTCCACAGAGCAATATCCATAGCTAGTTTTTCCCTTTCCTCTTTTTCAGCTTCTTCAGGGACTACTGGAATATCTTCCTTCAAAACGTGGGCAACCTTTTTAACCGTTAGGAAAAATTCCATCTTGGTTTGCCAGCGTTTGAAGTTAGTCCCGTCAAACCTGAATGGTCTGCTTAGGTCGAAGCTGTTCGGACCAGTAATATTATCTACGAGTGCCATTGCAGTAGAATCGTCTTAAAATTGTTGTATCAGTAGCCTGCAACAATGACACGAGATAATCTTTACTGGCTGAGTCACGACCAGGTCGCTCTCTTTAAGACGTTTCGTGGTACTGCCTCAAGGTGCAAGCAGACTATCAACCACGCCGTCCCCAGGATAAAACAGCCCAGATCTCTGTTATACGATATCTTACTGCACTGTAAGAATCGCTCTCGAATACACCCAAAATATGGCTACCAGTGCCAATTCAGAAATACCCACAATATTGGAATATCTTATTCCAACTCTAGTGCCACGGAAAGAAAGGGAGAGAAGGAGGCCGGAAATGCGTCGGCAGAAAATATTGAGGGAGAAAGAAAAGAGCAAGTAAATTCGTACTTGCTCTTGGTGCAAAAAATAATGAAGGAGGAGGTCTCTATTTATAGAATGAGATTTTGTCACTACTCTTGCATCCTCCAATGTGGGACTTGTGAGATTTTTTCAAAATCTTTCAATGTGGGACTTGTGAGGTTTTTACAGAAACTTCCAATGTGGGACTTGTGAGTTTTTCAATTTCACATCCTAAGGTCCACACTAATGACATCAAACTACACAAGTTCCAACATATTCTTTTGATAGTTAATCAATAGATAATAAAAAAAAGGAATGATTTAGTTTTTCATGTTTGTTTGTGTAATATTAAGAAGGAAAAGTGCGTGATCCATCCACAATTTATTTTGCACGACGAAGGAGACCCAGAATCAGCAGTAGCACATGCCAATGGTGCCTCAAACCTGTATGCATTCTGTCAGCACCATACTCATCTGAATCTTCAGCACCATGGAGATGATCCAGGCTTTAAAATTGACGATCTGCGCCTTGCTTGAGTGGGACCAAACTCGTATTAATATAAATTTGCATGAAGTAGTAGAGTTGTAAACTAATGAGCTAGTGCTTATTATTTATGCTGCTGTACTATGCTAATAGAGCTATATATTCAACCCAGATTAAAGTAGGTTCAAACTCTCTATCTAGGTTGTGAATCAACCAGCTTATAATGTTGAGCAAGAGTGTGGTCTGAAAAATCAGAATGGATAACTGCAATGTACTGAGTATTATTTCTTATAAGCTTATGTTGGGTGAGTATGTTATATTAGCCTATGAGTAAGGCATTCCTTAGGTAAGATCATACAACATGCATAAAACCTGAGTAACAAAGTGCACCCATTTCTGCTTGTACTTGAGGGTCCAATATAGCCGATGATCCATTTCCAGATAGGTAACTCGTTAAGGGTATGAATCTTAGTTTTAAATGTTGGAATTTTCAAATAAATAAAATCAAGACTAGTTCTTAGTTTTATAATTATTGTTTAGTAGTTTTTGATTGTCTAGTTTTTTATAATGTGTCACATATTATACTTGTCGATGATCACATTAATTGGTGATGGTCATGAACAATAGTATATGATAGTTAACAATAGGCAATGATGGATAATACTAGTACTCAACAATGTGTTAGGACTCGCATTTTGAGTAGAATAGCAAACTAAATGTGGTATTTAAGTCATGAGGCTCTCCCACCTAATAGACTAGTCTTTGGATTGAGTTCTCCTCATGTACTTAAGTCCCAACACAATGTTAGTGAGAATTTAAGAATATAAACTTAATTTTTGTATAAAAAATGAGATATAATATATATTGTTTGTTTTTTAAATTAGTGTAAAAATATCTTGAAAATCATTTAAAAGCCAAATCAACTTATAGGTGTTGTTTTGTTCATGGACCAATTGACCACTCCTCTATCTTAGGCATTTGGATGAAGGCCCAATTTGTGTTTTAGTATAGTAACAATTCTGAAGATGCTTAGTGTTTCCAATGTTCGAAAGCAGGTCATATGACTATAGACATATAAAGGGAAAGGCTAACGTTACAAGCTCTTATTGATAAAGATTGCTTGCAAATCAAATATACAATTACCCCCACACATATTTGGGCATATGGTAGAATTAAAATCCTAGTGCTATTGTAAATAAGGTAAAATTATAAAAGGATGCTTGAAGAGTGAGAAGATATAAATTACAAGAGATAATTAGATATCTATAAAAGTGGAATATCCATGAGTAAAGTCAGAAAATAAGAAGCATAAACATTGTTTATTATGGAAGATATATAGCCCAACAATGTGAACTGATGCCACACACAGATGTTATTATAAAATGAAGCCGAGCCCGTGAATTTAACATTGTAATTTTTCCACTAGCATGACTTTTCTATACTTTATACATAACCCAACCTGTTCATCTTCAATTCCACTGGAAGAATCGTCAAATTAATTGTTCTGGAAATTTTATAATATCCGGATTCTGTTATGACCTCAACATGTATTTGTCGTCACTTCTTGTTTATGTTTATACACTTGGGTTCATTGCATTAAAGCAATTGCACAAAAAATATTTAGTATGTCACAGAACATCAAAGCACCAGTGGTCTAGTGGTAGAATAGTACCCTGCCACGGTACAGACCCGGGTTCGATTCCCGGCTGGTGCAAACAGTGTATTTTTTTCTCAATATAAAGAAATTTAATGAAACAACCACTTCCATGATGTGCTATCATAATCTAGAACATTCTTGTTGCTTGCTGTCCTTTTTATTTAATTACTTCCAAATTACATTTGTATATAAATAATTTGACCAAGACAGAAAAAACTGTACATAATAGAAAACATTTCAGAAAATCAAGCTGAATGACAGACTATCAGCACTCAAAGTTTGAAATGAAAGTTTCAGTAAAGTCATGAATGGCAATATTGCAAGAACACTAATAATTAATTAAGCTTTTGATAAAAGCTAAAAATAGCTCATAAAGTTTTAGCATATAATGCAAAGGATAAGATAAGGTTGTCTATTTGCTTGAGTGCTTGTGACACAAGAAGATGAACGTATTGGAACCCCTTTCTTCTCGCCCCTTTTCCCTTTATATGTATGATCACTTTGGACAATTTGAATGCTCTATTGTATCTCATTGGTTACGTTTTTACTTAGATTTTTTGCTATCATTGTGCAGGAAACCAAGGCCAATATTAGTTTTGTGCAATAACCAGTTGGTGGAGACGGACACATATGGATGATAAGGATAATAAGAGCTTAACTCTACTTTAGGAGAGTCTAGTACTGAAACATGAGGAGAAATAAATATTTGTTAAATTTAAAAATTATTTTAATAAAAACAATTTAAAATCATAATTTTTATATATTCATTTGTGATACATGTTACAATCTCAACTCAATAATAGACCATTAAATATTGGTAAGAGGTAGATTCTCGTAATAATAACTTTCCACTAAATTTTACATATCTATAAAAAAAAATTGTGGGAGATCCTTTCCTAATCTAGAATCTTGGGTTTTGAATGAAATCTATACCAACTTTATGATTAGGGGATGTGCATTTTGTTTGTTGCACTTTTATACTTTAGATACTTTTCTATAAGCATACTGTGTACTCTAGAATAAAACTACCATTTTATATAGAAAACACTCCTAACTTATTAAAAATTACCAATTAAAATAATAAATTAATTACTTATCATTAATAATTAATGATATCGAGCATAAAATATATTTCAACCGTGAGAGAAAAGTTGGATAAAAAATATTCAATTTCCATTGTAACACTAAGTTTTTAATGTGTGGAAATGAATTTTAAGTGGAGAGTTTGATATGCTCGGATAAAAATTCAACTAGTGTTATGACCAAAGCCTAAAATTAATAAATGGTAAAAAATGACTAATTTGTTATTTTTAATGATTAAATTGAACCTAAAAAGGATAATGGACGAAAAATGATATTTTAGCTTGAAAATTAGATTCTAAATGTAGTTTGATAGTCAAAGATAAATGCTTGTGTAGTGACACATCCAAACTCCTTAATTTATACAAGTGCTTCCCAAATTTATACCCAAGTGTAACTAGCATATTGATTATAACGTGTAAATTTTGATATGATGAGGAATACTTCCTTTAGTTTTTAAGCTAAAGACAAGCATATAAACACCTTACAAATTATGTCATACACATATAATGGCAATGGCTTTTAGCGTCAAGCAAAAGCACAATTTACATTGATACCAAGTTGTTAATTTGATAATGGTATACAGGTAGTGTGTGTGATGAGTGGATTAAATCCACCGCGTTCCACTTTGCACGTGATTGCACCCAAATTGAGACATGTGACTTGCACGTGTCTGTCTCAAATTTCTTCCGGGATGTGTTGATATCCATTCCAACAAGTGTTGCTCCTATAAATTAAACATTTAAGATTTTAGTCATCCTAAAAATCCAATAAGGTCAACTAGTTTGAGACAACTCATATTAACATTAATTTAAAGCTGAAATTCATTATCTGAAAACCATCACCGCAAAGGGAGAGAAGATAGACCCAACAACAAGCAACAACTATGAATAATAATAAGTCTTATACAACACATTTACCTCTGATTTCCCATACCCCATCACATTGTTGATGTATCAATTTTACTACTACATTGGTTCCAATAATATTATTCACTATTTATACTTAACCATTATTAAAATTTTGAACAAAAGAAAGTAACACAAATATATTGTATACAATATAATGACTATTATAAATCTTTATACGAACATTGTATAAATATTACAATTTAAGATAATCCATAAAAAGAAAATATTTCTCCACATTCTAGTTAGTAGGATAGAGATACTGGTGTGCAATAAAGTGTTTGATAAATTAGTTGCATAAAGGTGTCGTGTGTGGAAGTTTTGACCATTCATGGTAACAAAATGAAAAAATGAGAGTAACGATTGATTGCAGAATACCATTCAAGTGGTGGGTCAACCACGTTAACGACTAGTCCTCCGGGCCTCTTTTAGTAGTGTATATCACTCAGCGGAGAAGCAAATAAATTCACATCTGGTACACTGGGTCGAGTTCATCACCAATTTATGTTGAACTAACTAGAATACTCTTTTGATAATACTGTTTTGAACTAACCATTACATATGAAGTATATAATTATTGGAACATTAGTAGAGGTAATCACACATTTCAAAACAAATTAGTTAATCCCTTAATATGTCATGTTTTTACATCTCATCATTTCTACTATCGTTCCAACATTAAAACCTAACACAAACGTTTTTGGAAAAAAATGAGAAAAACCATTTTTATAAGAAAATGTGCATCTCCCCTAATTAATAGGCCTTGAATTTTAACGTGAAATAATCATGGTGTAGAATTGTCTTACATAGTTACATTATATTATAAGGGATTAATTATTTTAGGATGCAGGTTTGGGGGTTGAGGTTTCTGAGCGACAAAAGCTGATTTGGTGCCATTGCTTCGGATCGCTTTTACTCACTTCGCTTCTAAGCCATGCCATCTCCAAAATCCAAACTGAAATTGGATCATCATGACTAAGGGGTATTCATGGAATTCCACTCGTAACAATCAAATATTTTGAAATCTATAGTATATATAAAGTCAAAACATGAAATAATAACCACCATGGTGTAATTTCTATTTTCTTATTTTGCCCCTTACATTTTTTTAATTTCTACAAACAAAAACCATATAATCTTCAGTAACTACCATTAGTATATTAACCACCTATCTCATCTTAAATAGAATTATAATAAATAGATTTTTTAACAAAAAATACTCTTAATATAAAAATATTTTAATCGTATAAAATAAAATATATAAAAATTGAATACTTAATATAATAAAATAAAAATGCGGGTCGGCAGACACGAAGTATCAGTCGACACGCTAGTATACATAAAATAAATACTTAAAATACCGGACATGATATTATCCCTTTTTCTATAACACACCCATGACAACAACAAAATAAAAACGACAGAACCAAAATCATAACCTGGTCCACGGACATGTTAATACATTTGGGCTCGATGTAATTTGAATAAGGTATGTAATATTATTATGCATTTTACTTATTATATAATATAGAAACAAAGTTATTAATTAATATGTGAGTGAAATTGCGTAAAGAAGGTGAAGCTGTTGCTGTGTACATTTTGCGTTATGATATTAGAAAACAGTGAGCGGGAAAAGTAAAGAATGGTAGGGAAAAAGCCAAAATCCAAAATGAGCGGCGGTGAGCACGTTGGGCAACAACAAGTGTTAGAACTCAGACACCGGTGGAACATGATTCCTCTCATGCAGAATCCAATACCGGGGAATGTGAGAAGAGTGGTTTTTCAAAAAATTTAATTTAAGAAAAGAATAAAAATTTAAACTGTTTAAATTTTGTTTTTAATACATGTCAGACTCTTATATATGCACTGATATCTCCTGTAACAAAAATGATACAAACTCTTTCCAATAATAATTTACTGAAAAGATTTGGCTCAATTTCCATTTCCAAAACAGGAAAAGAAAAAGTTAAAAGAGATGGGGAATCATATTTTTTTCAACAAATATTGCAGTTTCACAGGCCTTCAATATTGGTTTCCAGTAGGAAAAAATAAATAACAGTTACACAAAAATTGACACCATATTGCAGTATGTTTCAGTTATTTCTTTGCACTCAAAACTTTAAAATCATAAATTAAATATAGAAATAATATATGTATAAAAATTTATTTAAGAGCAGGTAGCGTTAGGTAGAAAAATACAAGAAAACGTATTTGAAAGTATAAATACATGACATTTAAGAGAGAGAAAAGTAAAATAGATGGAGTGGGGTGAGAGAGAAAGAAACTGGCACTTATAGAAATAATCGACGGAACCTTTCACCCCTCATTCAATGCTTTACCAAACTCCCCTTCCCTTCTCCACTTTCAATTTCATCCTTTCTTCTTCTTCTTCCATCTCTTCCCTTCAAACTGCATCTTCTCTTCCACTCTCTAAGGTATTCACTCTTTCCCGCATCTCACTTTTCTTATTTTAAATTAATAATCTAACAAAACAAATATGAAGCTCTGTGTTTTTGGTTTGTTTATGTTACATAGGTTGATACAGAAATGGATTGCATTGAAGGTGCGTTAAAGACCAGTTTAAGGAAAGACTCGACTGTCAAATTGAGCCCACAAACCTTCATGGAGGATTTGAATGTGCAAATTGGCACACCTTGTGAAGATTTTTTATTTGTGGATAATCTCCTTGACTTCTCATATGTGGAACAACAACAAGACGAAGAAGAACCGAAACAACAACAACAACAACAACAACACAAGGAAGGTGAAGATGAATGTGTCTCCCCTCACAAAAGCAACGATATTTGTAACCTTTCTCTCAAAGACGAGTTTCTTTCCATGCCCAATAGCGACCTCAGTGTTCCGGTACTTTTCTTTTCTTAATTTTCGCGAAAAGAAACAGTTTTTAAGGTTATTATGTGGTGGTTTTAAGGAAAGTTGCAATATTCACAGGAGGATGTTGCAGACTTGGAGTGGTTATCTCATTTTGTTGAGGATTCCTTCTCCGAATTCCCCACCGTATCCACCACAACCACGAGGGAGAAAGAAGAAAAGCCGTTAAACCCGGTTTATATTCAACCATGTTTCAAAATCCCGGTTCCAGCAAAGGCAAGAAGCAAACGAACCCGGTCGGGTATTCGGGTTTGGTCACTCGGTTCACGTTGCTTCACTGAGTCATCTTCAAGCTCCACTTCCTCCACCTCCTCCTCTTCTTCCCCAACAAGTACTTTGCTAAATTACGCCGACTTGGTCCAAAACCTCGACCATGTTTGTTCTCCGTCGAAAAAACCGATGAAAAGGGTATCATCTCACGGTTCCGTCCAGACCCCGCGACGGTGCACCCATTGCGGCGTTCAGAAAACTCCTCAGTGGCGAACTGGGCCGCTGGGAGCTAAAACTCTCTGCAACGCTTGTGGGGTCAGGTTCAAGTCGGGTCGGCTCTTACCCGAATACAGGCCTGCTTGTAGCCCTACGTTTAAAAGTGAAATGCACTCCAATCACCACCGCAAAGTGCTCGAGATGCGCCGGAAGAAGGAGGACACCGGTGGTGTTGACACCGGTTTTGAATCTCCTCCGGTGGTCCCCACTTTTTGATTATTATAGAAAGCAGGAAACTAGGTAGAGAAAAAAAAACATAGATGTTAGACCCGGTTCGTTGGGACCCGGACCCGAGTTAGGGTAACATTTCTCTCTCTCTTTAGTCTTTATGTTGAGTGCGGTAGGTGTATGTGATTAGTAGA